TCGATGCCCTATATGCCACTGTCTCAATTGAAAAATATGGATTGGAAGTACCTTTTTTTTCGGGTTCCCTGTATGTAAATAACACTGTTTCGAGTGCTCTATATGTAACTATAAAGAATTTAAAAAATATGGGTGCCCTGTAAGTAATTGCCTCAAATGAAAGAGAGTGTTTGATTTGTATATAATAATGTTTGGGGTGTGTGTATGTAATTGCCTCAAATGAAAAATATGGGATGAGATTCTACCATTATCTTTGATGTTTGTGTGAGAATTTGAAAAATAGATGAAAGAGGGTGTTGATTTTGGTTATAGGTTGTGAGGAGGAGGTGGTGTGTTGTGGAAGAAGGTGATGCGAAGGTGGTGGAGTGGTGTTGTGTGCTATTGATGTTGGTGGTTGGTGGCGTTGAGGTGGTTGGTGTGTGGTTTGGAGAAGGTAGTGTGGTGTGGTGTTGATTATGAGGTAATGCAATGGTATTGGTCTGTGAAGATGTTGGTGTATGTGTGGAGGTGTTTGGTTGGTCTGTGGAGATGGTGGTGTCTGTGTGGAGGTGTTGGTGTGTGGTTGTGGAGGTAGTGATTAGTGTGTGGTTGTGTTTTGTGTGAAGATGTTGGTTTGTGAAGGTGGTAGTGATGGTGAGGTGGATGTGTTAGGGTTTTAATTTGCTGGTGTGTGGAGGTGCTGGTGTGGAGGTGGTGGTGTCTGTGTGGTGTTTGGGGGGTTGGTGTTTGGAGTTAATGGTGTTTGTGTGGAGGTGTTTGTGTGTGATTGTGGAGGTGGTGGTTAGTGTGTGGTTGTGTTTATGTGAAGGTGTTGGTGTGTGGAGGTGGTGTTGGTGGTGTGGTGGATGTGTTGGTGTCTTGATGTGCTGGTGTGTGGAGGTGTTGCTGCCTGCGTGGTGTCTAGTGTTGTTTGTGTGGTGGTATATGGAGGTGGTGGTGTCTGTGTGAAGGTGTTGGCGTGTGGTTGTGGAGGTGGTGGTTAGTGTATGGTTGTGTTTGTGTGGAGGTGTTGGTGTGTAGAGGTGGTGGTGCTGTGATGGATGTGTGGTGCCTTGATGTTCTAATGTACGGAGGTGGTGACATTGATAATTATATTGTGGCATTCCTATTTTTCTTTGATTTGCGATATTGTGGAATTCCTATCATTTTAATTGGTTTTTTTTCATGTTAGTAATACAATGATTAAAACAAAAGAGCCCGGTTCATTTGCGATGTGGGATAAACAGACAAAATTAATATTTTGCGGCCTTTGCCTCAAGGAGATTGATTCGAAAAATAGACCGACAACCTATTTCAACAAAGAATGCTCGAAATATATTATTAAAAAATTAAAAAAACGGTACAAGTAGAGAGTATGATAGGATGAAATTAAAAAAACTAGTGAGATTTACTAAAGAATGATTGAAAAATCTGGAAGAAATTGCAATGAGGATCAGGGTGGGATCCGATAAAGCGAATGGTTGATGCTTCTAATGAGTGGTGTGCAGAGAAACTGACGGTGTGCGTTTTTGAAAATGACATCTATTTATATCAATTTTTAATCCATGTTTAAATTCAACTATATGTTATATGAATTTAGTAGGTGGTGTATGTTGCAAAAAAATAAAATACAGTGGAATCGATCTTGAGTTGGAGGAGAACTTGGATTGTATGTTTGGGGGGAGTCGTGGCAGTGAACAACAATGCATGTGCCCCTAGTGAGACCGGGCTTAACGATATCCCCAAAAATTTGGGAGCTAACAAAACAGGTGCTTCCATTGAAGGCCCCAACCCGAAGCTTCATGAAGTTGAGTCCACAAGTCGGTCAAAGCGTTCTTGGGTTGAAAAAAAAAAGAAAGCGAGAGCTACTTTCCTTCAATGTCAGATCTCACAGTTGGTGGCTTCATTGACCAAAAAATCTAGCACATCACAAGCAACTTTTGTCCTCTAGGTTATGTGAATTCTGTATGCAACTCCCAAAATTTTGTAGGCATGCTGCATTTATTCACTATGAAATTTTTTGAAGATTCAAATTGGAGATAGTTTTTCATAGCGATGTCCGCTGACCGTAGAGTGACTTATCTACGTTATTTTTATCAGAGTTGTGAAATTTGAGGGACATATTTTTAATTAGATGTGGGACATTTCAATTTGCTTATGGTTTTTCAAGATGTTTTGGACATTTAAACTATTTTAGACATGCCACTTTACTCGTGAGTTTTTCATTCCCCGTTATGTTTTCTATTTACTTTTGTAACATTATTTGTTTATGTTGGTTTTGTTCATAATCTTACATGATTGTACCTAATTCATTGACTCTTAAGTGTTATTTACTTCAATGCCAAAATACAAATATGTAACTAGAGAAATAAGCAGAATGAGAGTTGCGGTTGTCATATGCTTGATGTACGAATATTATAACTCGTACATAGACTACTCCTCTTGCATGACATCCTCATAACTTGGCCAAAAATGTGTTGGGAAGTTGCTTGTGGGCTAGCTAATTAGATTTTATAATATGTTTCACACAACACAAGCAGTATTCACCGATCTGTTGGGGGAACTACACAGAAATCATGGACTTCATGGCTCATCCATAACGACTTCGTGAGAGGTGTTGGAAATAACCCTCCACATATTATCACATAATGAAACAATGTTGTGAGCTATGGAGTGATTTCAACCTTCATCAGAAACAATTTGTAGATACTTCTTAGTATGGTTGAATGCATTTGTAAGTTTTTCTTCACAATTCTTAAAAGCAACATATCATAGATTCGAACGAACTCCCACAAAGATTGCACAATGTGCGGTATGTGCCACACTTTAAGGTAATTTCTCATATTTATTACATTCAATTTTCATATAAATATTGTAATTAGATAACCCATTGTTATCTTTCTAAAATTGTATTGGAGCAATCGATGGAACACACGTTGATGCACGTATTCCAAATAATGAGAAGATCACACTCATCGACCGTTGTGGGTCCTCGACGCATAATGTCATGGCAGTATGTGACTTCAACGTGTGTTTCACTTTTGTCATAGTCGGTTGAGAGGGTAGTGCACATGCCAGTCAAACTTTTAAATATGCAACACGTAATAACAAACTCAACTTCTTACATCGACCCATAGATTCGCTTGAGACTGAGCTACTCACTTAATTCTTTTTTACTTCAACACTAATCACTTAATTCACATATGGTAAATATTATTTGGTCGACGCTAGGTATTTTTTTGTAGCGAGGGTATCTTAAGCCCTATCCTGATATGAGATACCACAATACTGATTTTGAGTGAGCCAACATTGTTGTGTGGGGCAAGAAAAAATGTTCAACAAAAGACATTTATCCTTATGCGGCGTTATTGAGAGGACTTCTAGTGTTTAAAAGAAGAAATAAGTTACATTTTGCGATGTGTCTTCTTACTCATTTCCTAAACATGTGCAAATTGTGATTGCTATGATGAGTCTCCACAATTATATTTGACAACTTTCTTCTCGCAATGACATTGACTTTCGTGGGTGGACGAGGATCATGAACATGTCCCTACTGAGACATATAAGTACCGTCTTGGACAGTCTTTGTTATGGACCAAAAAGGATGTTCTCAAAACCTGTACTAAAGACGGGAAATGTGCAAACGAGATGACAGAGTTAAAAGAACGAATTACAAATGTGATAGTTGGAGGGTGAAGGGTGATTAGAGTTTTTATCATATTAATAATTGTAATGGTTGTTGAAGAGATTTATTGTTTATTATATTAACATTTTATACAGTTCATGATTATTTCTGCTCCTTGTGTATTTGATATTGATCTTTTTGATATTTTTACGTTGTTTGTAAGTGTTTTTTTTTTCTTTTGTATTTCTTTTGGTTTTCTTTTGAAGTGGTTTGGAGGTTCATGGATGTTTGACCTTATAGGTTATTTTGGATGGTTTGTTTGCCACTATTGATTGCTGTCATATGTGAAATCATAATGAAGACAACCAAGTTTCTTTCTTTTTTGTATGCTATGATTTTTAATGTTCTTTTGAATGACCTTTTTTGGTGATATGTATATGCGACACACATGAACTTGATATTATATGGGTTAAAGGGAACAAATAACTCTTTTTTATAAGGTTAGTGGTCTTCTTGTAGTGACATATTCATTGGTCTATGTACTGAGTTTTCTGAGAACTCATAGTTATATAAAACTATAATTAATTATTTATGTTATCAATGTTTACTTGTGTCATGTTTAATGAGTTGTTTTTACAATATTCAAGAAATATGAGCTCGAAGATTTTTGGTACCTCTTGAGGATTGCACTGCTACTGTGGACTTCAAAGTTCCTTGCTAACTTCACGTCAGCCACATAACTACTAGAGACAGTTTTATAAGTGCCTGAGGAGAATCATAAAAAACTGTGACTATTTTCGATGGGCAGATAAACTGGAAGATTTCACCATTGAGAGTGATTGAACATGAAGAGTATCCCTAGAGGACTGCTTAACTCGTGTCTTACGCCGTTTTCATTTTAAAAATAATATTATCATATTGTCAATTGTTATTTTATTAATATTTTTCTTAATTTTAATAATTATGCTACTCACTGTTAAGTGTGGTGTATATCTTTTTTTTTTTGGTAATGTTCTTCATCTAATTTTTGCTTTTAAAGTATACAATGTATTAGTATGAACAATTATGTTGCAAACAATATTACTATTCAGAAACATAATAGTATTTTTTCAGAAACAATTGCCGCATGGTTATTTTCAAAGCTGCATAAAATAAACAGATATTTAGCTTATCCACAAAAACTTCTAGTGGTTGATACTGCACAACAGCTTATTATTAAGTCACAGCTGCCTCAAACAAACCCTTAAAGAAGAAAAAATTTAAACTAATTGTTTAAGTGTATGGAAATTTGTCCATGAAGGATGTTTTTTTTTTTCAGTGGAGCAAATAAAATTGATGCATCTATTACTTTCTATAATTGGGTTTGCAAGGTCCATTGTATCCGTTCCGCAAGTCCTCTTTCTTCCGGATTCCCATAGTCTGGTCTGCGCTTTATCGACGGCCACGCCGCCCCATTCACCGGTAAAATCTCGGCTTCCTAACCGGCGACTCAAAGGCAAGAGTTTCCGGTCGCTGCAAATTACGGCAATTTGTGGCTCGCGGATCCGAGTAAACATTCTTCGCTTTCTTCTCCGTTTCTTATGCTTGATTTCAAACTGTTTTTGGTGAGGTAGTTCACTGCTTGTTTATCATGATCGTCTGTTCAAATTAGAGTTATATACCTGACCATGCAGATTAGCACCTTTTATTTTTATTTTTGGAGGCTTAGTGGGGATCGTCGGTGACAAGGTATTTGGAATGGTACTTCATTTGCTAGGGCTTTGGTCGTGGATCTGGTAAAAGCCGGTTTCTACTTGTTTTGACAATGTTGGTTGTCTCTACCGTGATTTATTTTCTTTTTGGGTTTGTAGTTGGTAGTATTTCTCCTTGCGGAATTCTTTATTTTCTTAGGCTAAACATAGGGTTCTCTCGACTCTTTTAATGAACTCGTCTTTTGAAGATCTTTTATGTTTTTTCTGAAGTCACATGAGTCCTTTTTAGTATTATTTTCTTCATGTCCTGTGCTAAGCATAGCATCAGTTAGGTAATGTAAAACACAAAAAAATCAATTCTTATGTCTTTTGTGCAGTTTTCCTGCTGCTGATGGCTAGTGGTACTCGTTTAGCACGTATGAAGATGCTCGAGGATGACAGCGCCTCGAAGCGTAGAACTAGAAAGCTTGTTAAGTTAAGTTCGCTTTCTCCTTCACAGAAGAAGCTGGGAAGCACAGGAAAGAAAATACCTGAAAGCCCTGTTAGGAGATCAGTAAGAACAGAACGAGTTGAATCTTCAAGTACTAGTTCAAATTCTAAAAGTCCTGTTAAGAGATCAGTAAGAACAGAGCGAGTTGAATCTACAAATACTAGTACAAATTCCAGAAAATGTTCAAATCCAATCACGTCTAAGAATAGAAAGGTGGATGAAAATATAGGCCCTTCAAGCTCTTCGGATAAAGCTAAGAAGATTACAAGCCCTCAAACTAAGAAGAGAAAAGTGGCTGGCCAGAGTGTCTCTTCAAATGCCAGAGATTTCACTGGGAGTGCAAGCCCGCAAGATAAAAAGAGAAAGATGAGTGGAAAAGATATTGTTTTAGGAGCAAATGATATGAAGAGTGACGAAAGCGGTAAGATGAAGACAATCCGAAAACATTTGCATGTTAGGACTTATAAGAAATTGGTCAAAAGACAGACAAGTAAATGTGTAGGCGGAGGTATGTGATTGTAATATTGTAGAATTGTTTGTTCATTGCTGAAATATCGTTTTTGATCTGTCTATACCATTGATACACTTGTTTTATACACGTAATCTTTTGCGAACCTTTTGTGTTCTTATGCTTGCTCTTCTAACTTGGAAATGTAGGTGGCAGTGATTTGTGCCTTCAAGAAGACAGTCCGCTTCAAATGTTTCTCTCTGATTTAGGTGCCAATATATCCAATAAACAGGAGTGCGGAGACGGTAAAAGGAATTTACAGGATGATGGAGATACAGGTGCAGAGACTGTAGAGCCACTGGACAGAGAAGTTTTAACAAAAACAGGGTCACCGGCTTCTGATTTCGATACCCATGCTCCTTGTGATGAACTTCGTCAAGATAATTTGACAAAGTCTAGTATTAAATATAAAAAAAGGGTTCCCTGTGGCACATCAGTGGAATCACCTGGAAAAGATATGCAGCTTCATGAAATTTGTGTGGTGAATGGAGAATCTTCTTCTCCCATTATAGAGGTAAATATGATTTTATAAAACAAAATTTCTTAAATGTTTAGGTAAACCAGGTATACTTTACTGTCTTTTTTGTAAAGAGTGTGTGTGTTGCAATTCCTCCCTTTGGAAATTCCGTATGCTAATTGTTTTTTTTTCTATCCATTCTTATCAACATGCAAAGGAACATGGTGTCAGTGATAGTGAAGTTCGATATGATGATTCCACCGAGAAAAACAGTAATATTGATTTGAAAGAATGTTCGTTTCATTCTCAGTTTGTCGTTGCTCTTATTCCAGATATATGTTTGGTTTGCAAACAACCTGGACAACTCATGTAAGTTCTTTTTGCTTTGTTGAGTATTGTTTTGGGGCACTTTGATATTTCAAGTTTAACCTGTTATAGTTTTATGTGATATGTTTCCATGAGATATATCATGCTTAAGTAGTGTTGTATTCAACAATTACTGTTATAATTTTAATTTTGATATTGTACCTCCTTATGAATTATTTATCAAAATCATCATTATGTCAAGTTAAATTCAAATTGATTTTGTTTTTGATTATTTATTTATTGATTTATAAATTTATAGAAAGAAGTTTCTCGAAAAAGTAATTCCATCAACATATTCATGGATTTATTAATGATCTCTTTCTTTAAAGAAATATAAAAAACTAAATTTAATCTATTGGATAAAATATAAAGATTCTTAATTCATTGTGAGTAATTTTAAATCATTTAAATTACTTTTTATTAAATTTTCTTTGCTCATATGTAAACATATTTTATTTATATATATTTGTGGCTTGTTGGTTATCAAATGAAAACTTGGTGGAATCTAATCAATATAAAATTCAGGTTTTGTTCATCACTCTCTTGAAATTATCTAGTGTATCCATTAGCAAGCTATAAGAATTGTCATTACTATTTCATGCGTTGTGTCCCACTGCATTTTTTTTTGTTTGAAGGTTAGGATAACCGTTCTCATTAATAAGAAATATAGATTACATAGTCAATTACAAAATAAAAGGAAAACATTAAAAATTGGGGAAAAAAATGAAATACAATTGGTTACACAGAGAAAAGCTTTGTGAGTGATACTTTATATGTGAATGCAGATTGAAATTTGTTTCTTCTCTTTTGAATTATCCTAAGGTATGCATGATTGATGTTTTCAATCCGAATGTTTTTTTTTTTTCTGTTTTGCTATTTGAAAAGCATTTAGCATCTGTTCCATTCCAAATGAACTACTCGGAAGAAAGGAACAAGATTTCTATGAGCTCCTGAAAAAATTCTTCATATAAGTGTCTCTTCTTGCAGAGAAGACAAAGTGTACATATTCAATGGAAACTGACAACGCCAAAAATTTGTCTCTGCGAAATATCACAGATATGCATTAATTAGTGAAGATACGAAAATCACTTCTAACTTATCTATGCGCATATCAAAGTAGCAATTTTGATGATCTCTTTGGAATATGAAGAGACCTTGTTAGGATTTTTCTTATATATATGAACCACAATGTAGTTTTAATTTTAATTGGAATAATACAATTCCAATTCCAAGAGCAATGAGCCCCCATCCATTAATAGTTTAAGGAGTTGTTAGAGAGAGAATCATTGAGAGAAAGATTCTATAAGGAATTCCTTGAACTTAATCTTTATTTAATTGATTAGTAAGGGAGAAAATAATTTCTTTCATACCATTAAAGTTAAATGGAAAAATACCTTTATGTAAACTATATCAATATACACTAGCAGTGGTAAGTGGCTACCAAATTATTGGAATTCTCGAAATAGGTAAATAGATTTGAACTAAGAAAACAATATACCACCATTTAACCTTCCAATTTATATTTAAAAAAATATGAATGAATAATTTTAGAAAACACTCTCATAAAATTGGAAGAATGAGACACATTGATTGACTAGAAATCAAGCGAGGAGTGTAAGTGAAAGTCTTATCCTGAATGATAGAACAATTTATCATTATTTAGTTATTAGAATTTGAAGTCCTTTTTCTAAGGAAAGGTAAGTTCATTATATTTATGTCTCTGATACCAAGACCTCCTAAATCTTTAGGATGACAAATATTTATCCATTTGATAATATTTAGATCACCACTTTACGTGTCACCTTTCCAGAAAAAATTTCTTCTTAGCATCAATATTTTTGATAAACCAATATGAAATATCTATGAAAGATGAATAATAGAGAGGGATTTCTGAATTTTTAAAATTGAGAAACACAATCCTACTATCTTTAGAGAGGAAATTAACTTTCTAAGAAGAGTTTTTGATGAATGTTTCAAATAAGATGATTCCAAAAATTTTCCTGAGGACTTTTGGAACCCAAAGGAAAACAAACTTCAATGGATTGCTTTATAAAGAGCAACCTAAGATACTCACTTGAAGTGTATTCTAACTTGGTAGCTTCCCTAGATAACTCAACAGGTATTTAAAGAACTTGGACTCGAGTCAAGTCACTTTTTCAAAGATGATTTCTAAAGAATATTATTTCAAAATTGGGTAGCTCCACAGAATAGGTGAGTTCATTCGTTAACTAAAGACTATTTATGGTTGGCTCTCATTGTTTGAATTAACAACCTTCAAACAATTGTTAGAAGAAGCAATATGAACATTTTGTGAAGAACATCAACAATAGTAATGAAAGAAGAGGAGAAAGTGGTTTTTAGGTAAGCCTGTTAGAACTTATTAATTGTATACTAATATTAACATTTACAATGATCTGGTGGTTGCATGTGGCATAGAGTTAATGATTTTTGCAATAAATTGCGATGGAAAGAAAAAACCCTAAAGGGCCACTAACAACTATCCTTAGTCTTTTTCTAAGTTCATCACGAAGAAAAATTTTCCCATTTTTTTGCTTTGTTGACATCAAGTCAGTAAAAAATCTCCCTATTAATAATAAAGATACCTTGAAAAAAATTTTAAAAATTGGTCATGCCTTGGATTATGTTTGCAAGCATTTTAGTTTGATTTTTAATGTATGGTCGAGGAGAACAATAGGTCTAATGTCCTTTAGAAGTTTGCTGTCTTTTCTTAAGGATTAGGAGAAATAAGAGAAGAAATAATACCAAGAAGAGTAGCCTTCAATCGAATATCTTTAGGTAATTTTAATTTATACTTTTGAGAATGACTTATGTATATTTTTCATGATGAGAATCACAATAAGTTCACTTTAATTATAATAATTGTTGTTTTTTTGGAGATTTTTACTGAAGATATTTGGAATTCTAAGAAGATTATAATTTAATGATTTGTCTAAGTAGAAAATGGTCCCTCTAATAGCCTTGAAAAACTTAACTATAGGAAAACATGAGCCATTTAAAGATAAATGATGGATTGAACTGTGTATGTAAGTTGAAAATCTAAAAATTTTTGATATCACTCTAATGCTTAATTTATGTGATCGGATTAATATCATGTTGACCTCATTTTGAGGTCTTCCTTACTCCTTCTAGAGTCTAGGATCTAGTCATAGGACTTTCCTATTGACTATCTTAGAGAACTAGTGATGGGACTCACATTATTTAGAAACTCCATTCCCTCTTAACTCTTTTGTGGAGCCTCACAAGGGTGGTCCAGGCCATCCACATTTAGTCGAGTGGTTATGATCTCGAGCTGTCATGGCTTGGTTGGGTGGCTAAGATCATGTACCATCACCGCTGGGTTGAGTGGCTAGGACCAACACGTCGGGGCCTTACGAAAGTTCCTATAGGATTTAAAAAGCCTTAGGACACCCATTATGATTTTCGTACATTTGTGCACACAAATGTCATAATTCAAACAACCGACACGCACAAATATCATAATTCACGTCACCTACATCTGTAAAGGTTTCATAATTAATCAAAATTTAAATCAATTTTCGAAATGATCGATCACAGACCAAAAATTTGAAAAAAATTCAATTTGGTGCTTTTTCAACCCGATTATCGATAAAGTTCTAACGACCCAGATGATGAAACAGACAGCGCCGACGTGTCCAAAATGTCTATTTTACTCAGGGAGGACTTCTATTTTTGCTATGATTTCATGCACGAGCGAAAAGTGAGCGAATCAGGAGATTTTAGTATTAAATATTATAAAATTAATAATAAAAAAACAATTTCATTTCTTCCTAAAACTCACGCTCACGCCTCTCGCACACCCGATCATTCCCCTCTCCCGTTCGCGAGACCCGTTGCTCACCCCCCTTCTTCCCAATCGCGGCCCGAGTGGAGCCCTAGCCTGTGGCTCGCCCCCCTTCTTCCCAGTCGAGGCCCGAGCAGAGCCCTAGCTCGTGCGCTTCCCCCTCTTCGCGAATCTTCTGGTTAGACCGCGAGTCCTTAGCGGGCGACTCCTCTTCTTTGCAAGCCGCCCGACTGAACAACTCCTCCATTCGTGGAGCGCCAGCTGGCTGCTTCCTCTTATTCGCAAAGGCTAGGCGGCCGTCCCTCTTCTTTCCTCCCATTCCCGATGCTTCTGCGCAACGGAATGGCGCCCTCCTTTTTTTCTTTGCCTATAAATACCCTACCTAGAGTAAGATTTGTGTTGTTGAAGTTTTGGTAAAGGGGAGTGGAATGGTTCTTGAGTTTTCTTGAGTTTTCATAAGAGGTAACTTTTCTTATGACCTTCTTTTCAATATGAAAGAATATGTATTCGCTTGAGGAAAGTACTTAGGGCTGTTTCTTGGCTTGATCTACTGGGTAGACTTTTCTTTTAGTTCATATTGCTGGTTACTTTGAGAATAACTTCATGATTACTTAGGCTTTTAAGGACTCATTATTCTTGGAGTATAATAAATGCTTTAGGGATGTTGCCTCTAGGTCGAATTTCTACATTTTTTTTTTCTCAGCAGCTTGAAGCTTCTCTTTTCACATGAGTCTCTCTCTCTCCCTCTGTTTCAACGCATCATGATTTTTTTTGGTATACTTTGAATGAATCAAAATAGCTAAACTTGGGTTGAACGAGTTGAAGTAGCTGGACTTTGGGGTTGGCATTGGTAATTGGAGCTTTCTTCCTTGTCACGTATCAGATTTTTTTTTAATCCAGTTTGTTCCAGGTGGAAAGTAAGCCGAGCCTGGAGCCAGATTTACACTACTCAATGTTTGAGACATGGTTGTTTGATGAGAATTATGTGGTAGGAAATGAGAACAATATGCTTGATATGGCTCTTGAGGGAGCCGAGCCATTTTAATTAATTAGAATAATCTTAGGAGTGGCTTTTATTCTGCATATATGATTCTGCAATACTGATTAAAAAGGAATTAAATTTCTTTAAAAAAAATTTACATTCATGCCACACGATTGTTCTTATGTATGTATATTTTAC